TTCATAAAAGTTTCCACCTGATGAGCCTTTTGCAGATTGAACCCATATTAAATTAGTCAGAAGAAGAAACATTGCAGACGCAGTGTTAAAGTTCTTACTATTAGCATGCTATAATTAGACAAGCCATACAATCAGGTGCTTATCAGCCATATTGTAAAAAAAGAGTGTCGGTGTCACTGTAACGCACCGAACAGTGTGTAGTCCACATCCAGGACCAGAAGCCCCTTGCCTTCTCTGGGAGGGTTCATTTCCTCCACCTTGTAGTCTTTCACTCTGCGGGCGATCTTAGCCAGGTTCTCCTCTCTGCAGACAAAAAAACAACATTGGTTTCTCAGAAATATTTCCTTGCGCTTTCTCAAAAGTTAAATCTTGCTTCTTTACAGACATAGAATTCCCATTAGAATAGCTCACCTGTTCTCCACTTCAATTACCTCCTCCTCGATGTCAAAGTCATTGACCACGTCATCGTTCTCCGGGGGAGGGGCTAAAACCTCTTCCTGCACAAAACAAAAAACATTTTAAAGTGTACCAGTCAGCCAAGGGGAGCCTAGACACAACTAGGCATGGGACGATTTAAACCTTTCATATCAAGTTAACTCGGGCCAAAATCCATGCGTTCACGAAACATAATGAAGAAACCTTACTTTATGTTTTGTTAAAACATTTTGAAATAAGTATTCATAAAAAATATGGCACTCATCCTTAAGTGAAATCAAACCAGCTTAAATAAGACAATTACAAATAATAAGCTCCCCATCATAAAACAATTAAATAAATGTATTAAATGTTGTATTACTCACATAATAGTCCTCTATCTTGTTTTTTTTAACAGGCTCTATTTTTCACTTTAATAGCAAGCTAGACAGCTTTTACAAGTCACATATGTGTCATGATTATCCCAACTATAAAAAATGTACCACAATCAATATTGTTGAATTTAAGCACAATCTGCAATAGCAGGATCATCATTCATCACACCACTTATTGACCATTAGATTAAAGCTAGATGGTGACCATAACTATTAACTAACAGGTAGGAAAAAATGCTCTCTCAATGACTATCAGGTTTGGTTAAACTCCAAGTTAGTTGTTCTGTTAGGGACACAGCCAGTTGATTGGGAAACTAGTAATATGTATGTATAGTCAGTGAACTTCTCTTTCACACTGCCACCTACCAGGCTCTCCTCTCTGGTACCCATCATCATGATCTTAGTGTTAGGCTTCAGCTTCAGAGAGCCCAGCTTCACCTCATCTTCTGCAGGTTTACCTGAAGCAGGAATGAAAGAGAGAAAGAACAGAAGGAGAAAAGGGAGATTCATTTAGCTTTTTTTAAAAACACAATTAAACTAAATAGAATGTATAAACTACAGACAGGTTGAGAACTTTGACACTCAAGCAGTTAACAGACTCGGAAATTGGTTTGTAAAACATCAGCTTATGCTACGAATCTGGATCAACATAAAAAAGCCTTGGGAAACGTAGTGGTGGATTTGTTTGATCAGAAGCTGATATCATTTAGGTGAGATGTTTCTTATATATATTCAGCAATGATGGCACAACAGAAAATAAAGTTATGGTATCTTGTCCACTTGGTTTGGATATCTTATGGCAAAAATAACATTTGTGACCACTCACCTTTGACCTTAAGTCCTAGTAGTTTCTGTCTCTCTGGCAGAACCCCAGTCAGGCTCTTGATGGACTGCTTCAGGTCCATCACTGTGTCCTCCTCAGACAGAGAACTGATGGAGTACTCCTGACCTCCCCACTTTATGATCACTGATACTGACATGGCACTAACGGGCTCTTCACACACATACACACACTACAGCTGGAAGAATGCACGCGCGCATACGAGTGCACACCCTTTCAAGCTAAAATACTTCCAGCTACAGTAACATACATGCACACGTAACTTACAGAGAAAGGGGAAAGAAACAAGGAGAGGTGTCAGGATCCCACACTGTTGTTGGCTGTTGCTTGAGCAAAACGTAGAAAGTAGCTAATAATCAAAGACATAGAGCAAAATATGCCATCCTTATTGTAAAACATGTGTTGTTTTGGCTGGCTGATTCAAGAAACAACGGCCAAATGCCACCTTAATCGCACCAGACACTTTGACAGTGTCTGCTGTTGATATTTTTAGCATGAGATGGCTAACAGTGACTAGCAACAATGTAAACACGCCAGGCAACTAGCCAACAAGCTAGCATTAGCTCACTAAGCTACAAGGTGTTGGTATCCTTACCTGGTATGGTAAGCTAGCGTGTAATGCTGGACAAACACTGCCAAATTACTTCGGGAAGTTGAATGAATGAATCAAGTTTGCCGTTCAGTTTCATTCATCGAGCAGCGCACATCCTGGCGTCCCGAATTCTACCGGTAGTGACGTAGTAAAAAAAAAACTTCGTTGCCATAGTGACCATGATTTAATGGATTCAAGTAAAATAGTTTTCCAACACTGATTTCAAATTTAGATCATCCAAAACTTAAATAAATGTACCATTAAATGCACCCTATGTTATGCTTAATACATATTCTCTGATTGACTACAAATGTAAAACACAAGTAGCAATTCTAAAGTCCAAAATACTCTGTTGTAAATAAAAGTAATTAGGGAATGTTTATTAAAAGGGCTACTTAAATAAAATTAAAAAAACACATAGGCTACCATGTCATGTTACCAAGTGACTCCAAACTTATATCAGATATCAAAACTTCTTTAGACATATTAAACACCTCCCTTTTCTATTGGATTTTAGCCCATCTTCTCCTATAGCCTACATATTTACTGTAGGCCTATGTGAAAATTCAGCAGTTTTACATTGTAAAGAGGATTGTCTAATACCTCCAATGTAGTAATAATACCTTCAATGTCATTAGCACCAGGTTTTCTTTTGTCATACAAAATAATGGATATCATTGTTCAGCTGTTATTTTATGATTTTTATATTTAGTTTAGTTTTATTAACTGTCCGACTCCTTATGTCCTTTGAATTGCCTTGTGTTGAGTCCCCCCAAAGGTAGTTAAAGTCATTATTGGGGTTAAAGTCCCCTCGTGGTTAAAGTCCCCTACGTGTGCCGTTTTGGTTTCAAGACCCTGGTTCGCGGAGGACACCAAAAAAGTCCTAGAAAAAGACAACTTAAACTTAACTATGTGCATTTAAAAATAAAAAAGAATAGTTTCGGCGAAAACTAAAAGGTACCATGGGGTCAGATTATAATTTTCCAAAGGGGGGTTCGTTTAGCATGAAACACTTGAAATAACTAAAGGACAAGTTAAACAAGAAAGAGGAAAGAAAGGGAGAAAACTATTTCTGCTAAAAAGTTAGCAATGATTGAGAGTCAGAAACTAAACATTTCAGATGTGTGTATCTCACACTGCACTGAAACTTTTATTCATGTACAGGGCCGTCCCTCCCTACAAGCCGATCATGCAGGCTGCATGGGGCCTCAAAAGCGCCGGTGTGAAAGGGATATACATTGCGCAGGGGGCCTCGGCTTATGAGCTTGGCTTGTGCGCAGCTCTCAGCGCAGTTCTCAGTGCAGTTCTCAGCGCAGTTCTCAGCACAGTTCTCTTATTTACCATTCATTCAAGTATTTTATGCCTTTTATCTGCTAATGTAGGCTACAGGAGGAAGAGTGATAAACTGTCTGTCTAGTTGGCTTACATAACAGTTAAAGTTTACAGCCAAAATACATGGAGCATTTTTTCCCCTTTTATTCATTTTTATGTCAATTTGCACATTTCATGGTGATGCTCAGCCTCTCCCCTTAACTCCTAACAGTCATCATCATGTCAACCACAACACAGAGAAATACTGATAGAAATGTGTGTGTAGTTGTTGATACATTGCTGACAGAGGGAACTACATTTGAATACAGATTTAAGAAATATCAGTTTTTGAGCATGTTTTGTCTTGACTATATTACAACTATATTATAATAAAATAATATAGTATTTATATTATTGAATTTAATTGATTATGATTATGATTATTAGTAGAAGTAGTTTATTTGCATTAATTATATTTTAATCTTTTTGAGGCTAGTATTTGGCAGGAAATGCAGACGTATTCACCTGTAAACGCATACTGAACGACATACATGCAATGAGTGTTTTTAGATATCATTTTATAATATGTTTGTTAATGCTATTAATGTCTTTCATTTTTGTAAAGCACTTTGAATTGCCCTGTGTTGAAATGTGCTATATAAATAAACTTGCCTTGCCTTGCCTTATGTCCAATGTATTATACTTGTGGTCTTATAGGGGGGGACCCTTATCAAAAAAGTTAAATGTTATCTAAGGAGGAAGAGCTGTTGTCTTCGAGTCAAAAGGTGGTGGGTAAATCCCAGCAGTTATCATGTTGATTTATCCTAGTGTGAATTGTGCTGCTTGTTAAATGTGTGCGTGATCACACTGCTATAGTGGAGAAGAGCTTCAAAATCAAAGACCTCAAACCTGTTAGAAATCCCATCCCTTACACTCCGGTTACTGAGTTGTAGGTAGTAGCAAAACCATATTTTGTCTTCTGCTATGCTGATGTTAAATATGGATAAATTGTCCCTACCACTGTTTCTAACAAATGGTAATGTCAATGAAAAGAAAATACTTAATTACATCAGAGTAAAATTCACAATGTACTCTGCAGCATACAAAGTAATTAAAACTAGCTCCACCTTTGATAAAAACGTTATTGCATCAATAACTATAAATAAAACATAGGCCTATATTATTCTGAAATGAAACGAGTATGCATACTTTTACTTTTGTTACTTTAAGTAGGCTATGTTTTGATGCTAATACTTTGCTACTTTTACTTGCGTAACGTATTGAACGCTGGACTTTTACTTGTAACAGAATATCCTCCCTACATTGTGGTACTTCTACTTTTACTTAAGTACACTACAGCATCTGAATACTTCTTCCACCTCTGAGTATAAGGGGTAATATATGCAACGGGACAAGCGGTTCTGCGCATGCCCAGCAGATCCTCCTCGGTACTTCGGGGTAATGGCTGCTAGGTGAGATGAGCGGATCGGCCGCATTCTTTGAGTGCGAGGCTCTTCCATCAAGAGGACCGTTAACTCGGGCGTCGCCGAGTTAAAATGGTCGATATCCGACCTGAAAAGTATCCCGAAACAGTTGTACATATTGCAAACATCGTCCTACAGAATGTAAGCTCTCTTTTTTTCTCATGAGTCTTGGCTTGTCGCCATAGCTAGCTCAGGATCTAGCAGTCTGCTTGCTAGCTATGCTACAGTAGGACTTAAAGCTAGTGGCAAAGAGGGAAACTGTTAGTGCTAATAGCTAGACAAGGCAGATAAAACGTTTAAGATAACTCTGTCTAGCTTTGATATGGATGCCTGTATCTAAGTAGTGGAGTTAGAACCAAGTTAACGCGTTAGGTATGTTTTTATTTCCTGTTTTGTTGACGGGAGCTTGGTTGTTGACAGTAGCTAAGAGGCAGAGATGCTAGGTGACTACGTTAGCTTGAATTGTTGGCACTGTGTCTGCTGCCCGCTCGATGCAGCTCATCCCTACACAGCACGTACGCTGATATATTAACAACTTCACAACTGGACAAACATAACCTTACTTTGCTTTTCAGTCACATATTAAACTCCAACCGGTCGCTGGTTCGCAAAGAGTTGCAGTCTTTACGGGCTAGATATAATTGTTTTCGTCCGTCGAGACGGACGGGTTACTAAAGTTCATTGCGTATAGCAAACGATGCAGCACTCACTCATCCATAACGTGTGTAGTGGCGATGCCTCATAAGGCTTATGAGGCATCGAGCGAGCATGAATATAAATACACCATATACCATGCCCTGTAGCTGATAATGGGTTACGAAAGATAAAAATAGTGTGCTAGACGTTGCGTTATATAAACTTGGATTCTGCGAAGTGATCTCTCTCTGGCCAGTGATAGTCGCGGTGATTTCAGAGTTATGTAAGTTTCTAGAGTTTAGTCCTGGGATGCAGGAATATGAAGGGATTGGAAGTCTATAACTACAAGTGGACCCGGGCTTTATAAAGTGATTAGAAATGTGTCTCTTAAGTACAACACCAGAAGGTGAGGTGGAATGATCAAACCATATTCTGCTGTGAGCATTATTAAACTCAAGTGTGAAAAGGCAGCTTGTTTTAATTAACTTGCAATTTCAATTTTTGTTGAGTTAGTGCTTCAAGCTACCTTCATAAGAAAAGAGGCGGCAACATTGAATCAAATAAGTGTGCCATCATCAAAGTAAACATACAACTTTAAAAACTACAATAAGATGTGCAAAATGAATGCATAATTGTGTTTTACAACTAACTAAACATGTATTTCCAGCAATGTACTTACTCAGATACAGTAACCCACATTGCACTAGACAGAGTTGTAAAATAGAAAATTAATATGCTACTATTTGTATGCTGTAAATATAAACAGAACAGTGTGTGAAAAACTGACTAAGCATATTTTATATGTGAACAAGCAGATTTGACCAGTGTGCCTAATTTATCAAGCCTGAGTCGCACCTGCATAGAACTAACTGAAAGTGTTCCCAGTTTATTTTCAGTTTCTTGTGCTCATGTTACGTTTTTATGCTAACAAAGGCCTCGATTTCTTTCTTGAACGTAAATGTGATTGATTATTAACTGATAGATTTGACTATGCAAATCATAGATTTGGGTGAAGCAGTTGTTCATGTACCCATGTCTCATCTCAACAAGCCTTTATGTAATCTACTGTACTGCAAATGTACTCACTTTGGGACTTGAACAATATATCCATGGATTGTGTTTCCTACATTCAGCAGCGAGGGGCATGACACGCATGAGCAGGGTAGGAGGGCAGTCAACAGAGATATGCCGTGTCAGACTAACTCGTAATACCAAGTCCAAAAGGAAAAGGGACATATCTGACATGAATAGATTGTTTATTGTTTTAAAACAGTTGCTAGATGTTTTAACAAGTAGTTCTGTTGGTGATCTAAATGATGAAACATTAGTTTTAAAGCCTCAAATGCAAGTTATAGTGACGTAAATGCAAGTAAAACTTCCTGTTTAGTTTTGCTCTCATTATAAATGAACATTTATCGAGTGTCAGATGTATACAATAGTGTTATTTTTCAGTGACTATCTCACTAGGCCAATTCAATGTTATGCATAATGATTGTTATACGGGTGAGAATAAAACACTACCCACCTGCCAAATGCAGAAAGCCATTGGCTGTTGTAGGGTAGGTTTATACTACCAGCCACTTTTGGGTCATAAAATTGTTAGCAGTTAGTTTGTTTTACATTCACTTCACAGTTGCTTGTAGATAATTTAAAAAATGGTGTCATCTCTCCTGCATCCTATTGCACTTCCGTTATCTGTCTCTCTCTACCTTCCTCTGACCTCTCTCTCACTTCCACCCCAGGTCTTGTTCACTGAGGGCTGGCTTTCATCTTTTTGCTCTCAACATCAGTAACCGCTTCCAGACTGCATCCTGTTGTTTATTTTTTTGTGCATTGTCTCTCTTTCTCTGCAGCGCACCCACTCTTTACATCCCGTCTTGTTGGTCAGTTCTGCCTGCCGATCAGAGGTTAAGCTGAGGCCATGGCAGTGAAGGACCGCGTAGAGTCGGTGCTCAATGTGGGTCTGCGTGTTCCCAGCATCATGCTGCTGGATGTCCTGTACCGCTGGGATGTCAGCTCCTTCTTCCAGAAGATCCAGCGCTCCAGCCTCTCCAACAACCCCCTGTTCCAGTACAAATACCTGGCCCTCTACCTGCACTACGTAGGTCAGTGTTGACCACAAACACACACATGACACAAAGCCTGTTCCAATTCAATTCCCCTGTATTAACATTTCTCAGAGGATTAGTGTAAAGCAACGCATTACACAAATTCTTTGCGCTCTTTGCACTCAAAAGCATTTTACACTTTTGACAAATGCATAATGAGCTGTATCATGTCAATGTTATCAGTTACGTTATGGCTTGTGGAAGCTGTTTTGGTATGGGAATATTTGACTGGACTATCAGCACTTGCAGCATTTGTTCCGCTGGCTTTTCCCGTAGGTCAACGGTCACAATGTTATCTGTCATGGTTGGATTTGCATTAGGGCTGCTCGATTATGGCAAAAATCATAATCTCCATTATTTCGGTCAATAATTGACATCACGATTATTAAAAACGATTATCCATTTACTTTGAAAACATCCATTTATAGCAAAAAAAAATGGAACAGTATGTTTTTAACAGTTGACTACCCTGAACTTTAAGTATAATTCAACTGAAAAACCAAAAAAAAAAAAAAGATAATCGTTTTATTTCGATTATGTTGTTTTCATAAACCCTAATTTGCATGGTTCCTTTTCTTTCCTTTCTAAGTCAGCCTTCTGTACCTAAAACGTGTCAGTTAGAGGATGCTCACACATATTGATAGGCAGTAAGCCATGAGGCTCTGCTTTGTAGTGATTTCAGTGCGCTCAGGAGGGATTGCTTGGCACAACGACAAGTGGAGTGTGACCAAAACAATCAGTTTTATCTGTTGGTGAAATAAAAAAGATGGACGATGCCTGAAATGAGTTTTCCTCTTCCAGCCATCGGGTTCACACCCTTTTATGAGGTGTAACTCTTTTAAAACAAGCCACAACCTCCTTTTGAGACAGACTACCATCACAGAACACACTAAATGGAAAAGAACCATGAGTCAGATTATCCAAGAGCCAATAATGAGTTCATAAAGTCATAGTCTCTCCAACACAGGGAGCCAGTGGAACTGAAGCACTGACTGACAGTGACAGTGATGCGAGGGTGACGTTGACTCAGCAAAGTCTGATGCTCAGACTGGTTTGACCCAGCAAATGTAAACAAACAAGCACAGTGTTGAGTTTTCTCTGTGTGTTTGTGTGTGTGCTGTCAGACTTTGCTGCAGTTGGCTAATGAGCCAATAGGCTTGGTATGTGCTGATGAGCGCTGTGGCTGGACAGCATAATAAAAGAGGGAGAGTCAGTAAAACCAAAGTAACTATGCACTAAGGAGTTTTTTGTGCATGTTTTTTGGTAGTCTATTGTATGATAATATTATTGACAGCAGTGACTGTTTTATTGACTGTCAAAATATTTCCCTGCAATAACTTAAGAAACTTCTGTCAACCACATGACATTATTTAGTAAATCACTTTTGTGTTAAGTACAAACACAGTAAGGTCCTGAAACAGGAATAAACAGAGATGCTTTTATAGTATCACTTGTTACTGAATGCTTTGCTTGTTGACTGTCTCTAACCTATTATGTGCATGTGTGTCTGCATGATTAACTCCATTGCAGGTTACATCCTGAGCTTGGTGCTCCTGACTCTGCCGCGCCAGCACCTGGTGAAACTCTACCTGTATGTCCTCACGGCCCTGCTGCTGTTCGCTGGTCACCAAGTCTCGAGGTACACACTTACATATAGACCTATATTCTTCAAGTGTTTTACCCACAGAATATATCAAAAGCTAGTATGAGTTGTTCTTCTGCTAGTTTAGATGAATAGCTAGAAAACGTTGTGAGCTACAGGTCAGTGGTAGATAATAAGTCACAATAGACTTTCCTGTAAATTGATCATTTTGAACTTTGTTTTCAGGGATTATGTCCGCAGTGAACTAGAGTCTGGCTTTGAAGGACCTGTCTACCATGAACCCCTTTCCATGAACAGATTCACCACTGCACTCATAGGTATAATATGACGCATGAATTCACAAACATTTGCACGTTTAGGTTATTCTGCAGCACTTTCTCAGCCTACAGGATACTCTTTCTCTATTACAATCTGATCTTGTTTCCCCTCTCATTTGTTACTCATGCATCAGGAAGGTCAAGAAAAGTATTGGGAAAAAAGAAGTAACATAGATCTTCTGTCACTTGTAGAACTGCAATATATTGAGCAACACAATTTAAACCCAAGTCTCTGACAGCAAAAATCCATCCTCTATAAAGGAGGCACGGAAATCTTAGGGGAGTTGCAGCAAATTGCTCAGCTATATTAAAAAGCATCTCTTAAAGGTCATACTGTATGACTTGGCAGACATCCTTCTGACCACCAACTCCTAGCCTTAATACTGTGAAAGCTGGTCCATGTTGAATTGGAAAATGTTAGGAGTTGCAATGTTTTTGATCTTACTGCAGAGAAGATGTGGAGTCTCCTGTGCTTTAAAAAGAGCAAACTGAGTTCTGATTTCACTGCATAGTGAAAGCTTGAGCAAGCACAAATAACATAGTTACAGTGACAAAGATATAGCGCTGCGGAGAGAGAGAGAGGGGGGGGTATTTAAATATGTTGCTTAATATGAGAGTGGTTTGTGTGTATGCGCAAGCTTCATCCTCTTTCTTCCTCTCTCAGGTCAGCTGGTGGTGTGTACACTATGTTCCTGTGTGATGCAGACCAAGAGGATTTGGCTTTTCTCCGCTCACCTCCTCCCTTTGGTGGCCAGACTGTGTCTAGTGCCGCTGGAGACCATCGTCTTCATCAATAAGTTCTCCATGATCTTCACAGGCCTGGAGGTCATCTACTTCCTGGCTTCTAATTTGTTGGTACCATATAAGCTGGCCAAGACTGCCTACAGGGAGCTGGCTCAGGTAATAACCGAGTTATATGGCCCGATGTTTCCATCTTTCTCTGTTTTCCTTTAAATCATATAGTCCTGAGAGATTTCCTCACATTTAATATTAATGTCATTCTGTCTTTTCCCTACCGCCTCCCTCTGTCCCCCAGGTGGTGGAAGTGTACGGGCTGCTAGCGTTGGGTATGTCTCTGTGGAACCAGCTGGTACTTCCAGTTCTCTTCATGTGTTTCTGGCTCCTGCTGTTCGCATTGCAGATCTACTCCTACTTTAGCACCAGAGACCAGCCTACCTCAAGGGAGAGGCTCCTTTTCCTCTTTCTTACCAGGTAGGACCACAACACTGTTCACCCTGTGTGGAGCATCACAAGAGCAAACAGTCTCTAGAGTGTGTTCTGTAAATAAGCAGACTATGATGGATTATGATGATATTTTTATTGTAACCATTGTTTACTCCCCTTCTTCTGCCCCCCCCCCCCCCCCCCCCCCCCTCTGCGTCTTCAGTATTGCTGAATGTTGCAGTACGCCGTACTCCCTGCTGGGTTTGGTTTTCACCGTCTCCTTCATCGCTCTGGGAGTTCTCACACTCTGCAAGTTCTACCTGCAAGGTTACAGAGCCTTTATGAATGACAACACCATGCACAGGTCAGTCACTGCATATATATATATATATATGTATATATATATATGTATGTATGTATGTATGTATGTCAGGGTTCTTACAATCATTAAAAACCTGGAAAAGTAATGGAAATTCAAAATGCTAATTCCAGGCCCTAGAAAAGTTATGGAAAACAATATCTTTCCCAAAGTTTTGGAAAAGTCATGGAAATGTAACCAAAGTTGCATCAAATATAATTTATATTTTATCTAATCGCCGAAATAGTAATACTATAATGATAATAAATACTGTATAGTAATGAAACGTAAAATGGCATTTAACTGACGGTATTTTGCTGGTGAGAGATTTGAGTTGCTTTAGCGTGTAGGAGCTGGTAAGCCTACTATTTTATTTGTTTTAGATAGGCACAACATGTTTCATATGCAGACCTTATTTTCCTGTTCAGTGTTCAAATAAACAATTTTCAGTGGTACGCTGAGAGAGAGTAATTTTATTTGGTCATGGGAAATTAGGTAAAGGTCATGGAAAAATCATTGGTGAAAAAGTGTATGAACCCTGGTATGTGTGTGTGTGTGTGTGGGAGTTTGTTGATGGTGTGTCTGGTTGTTAATCACTTTGGATGTTTGTTTCCTGTGTGTCTGTGCAGGGGGATGACGGAAGGCATCACCCTGCTGATCCTCGCTGTCCAGACCGGCCTCATCGAGCTTCAGGTCATCCACCGAGCCTTCCTCCTCTCCATCATCCTCTTCATTGTTGTTGCTTCTATCTTGCAGTCCATGCTGGAGATAGCTGACCCCATAGTCCTGGCCCTGGGAGCATCAAGAGACAAGTAACATACATTTACCATACTTTTTTTGTTTCTTTAAATCATTGATTATCTCTGCCATAGATCATTCTCATTCTTAAACAAATGGTCCCATGTTTTTCAAAATGGATAAAAATAATTCCTCGTGCCAACGTAACCTGTCTAATTAATGTTATTATTTCCCAAGATGTAAGAAATGCTTTTAGAGAATGAAGAAAGTACCACTCAATGAATGTGAACCCCCATGTTGGTACAGATGGAGCTGATGGTTTCTCTTTGCTCCCTCCTCTGTCTGTACTTTAGGAGTTTGTGGAAGCACTTCAGAGCAGTGTCTCTGTGTCTCTTCCTGCTCATCTTCCCAGCTTACATGGCCTATATGATCTGTCAGTTCTTCCACATGGACTTCTGGCTACTGATCATCATCTCCTCCTCCATCCTCACATCACTGCAGGTAACGCACAAGCGGACACACACAGAGAATGCACTATTGGAAGGTACTCAAAAACCTCTTGGATTTTTTTTGTTTGAGATCATTTAAGCAGAAGAGGTGTAAGTGTACTTCACTAGTCTCCATTTATAGAGAAGGAATGTCATCGAAATCCTGTCCTATTTAACTCACTGTGCCTGAGGTGCCCTACCCATCTGTACTTTGTGATTAATTATTGAATTGAATAACATCACATCTCTCCTCCGTCACCCCCAGGTCCTCGGCACTCTGCTGATCTACATTCTCTTCATGGTGGAGGAGATTCAAAAAGCTCCAGTCGAGAACATGGATGAAGTCATCTACATTGTCAACGGGACGTACAGACTGCTGGAGTTCCTGGTGAGAGACACACACACACACACACACACACACACACACACACACACACACACACACACACACACACACACACACACACACACACACACACCACACACACACACACACACACACACACACACCACACACACACACACACACACACACACACAACACACACACACACCACACACACACACACACACACACACACACACACACACACACACACACACACACACACAACACACACACACACACACACACACAACAACACACAACACACACACACACACACACACACACACACACACACACAAGAGAAGACAACTTGGGAGAAAGGCAGCAGCGATGTTGACAAATATATATCTATGGCATGTTGCTGATTATCTCTTCTGCCAGGTCGCGGTGTGTGTGGTGTGCTACGGCGTGTCAGAGACGGTGTTTGGCGAGTGGAGTGTGATGGGCAGCACCATCATCCTGGTCCACTCGTATTATAACGTCTGGCTCAGAGCACAGCTGGGCTGGCAGAGCTTCCTGCTCAGGAGAGACGCTGTGAACAAGATCAAAAGCCTCCCCACGGCCAGCAACACGCAGCTGGAGCAGTACAACGACATCTGTGCTATCTGCTACCAGGTAGGGACTGGTTCTCTGTGTTTGTGTTTCGTTAAAGCCAGTACATGGATAATGTATTTCAGGCTTCTTTAATGATTGAGCGCAGAGAGCGAGTTAGAGAGCGAGTTAGAGAGCTATTGAAGAGCGGGACCGGTGTTGGCATGAAATAGGCAGTGAACCGGAAGAATGATTGTTTCAGGGCAGTTCTAAAGCACTCCAGCCTGCTCTTATTGGATGTGGGATACACGCCCACTGCCCAAAGTCTGACAGTTAAAATACTGGCCTGAGGGGGGGTGCAGACACAGACCCTGCTGCACACTTTTAGTCAGCATAACTGATGATTGACAGGGATTACTTTTGTATGAGTCCTCACATTGTTTTTAAAGAAAATGCCTGCATAGTATAGATTGCAACATAGGGCACAGTGGTTTTAAAATGTTTCAAGAAGCTAACAACACAGCTTGTGTGCTCATTTCCTCCAGGACATGAACAATGCAGTGATCACTCCATGCAGTCATTTCTTCCACGCTGGCTGTCTGAAGAAATGGCTTTATGTCCAGGAGACGTGCCCCCTCTGCCACTCGCAGCTCAAGAGCCTACCAGCAGCCCCCAGCCAAGAAGCCCCTGCAGCCAATCAGATCCCTGCAGAGCAGGAAGAAGCGCCTAAAAACCAGACGGATGACTCTCTTGTAGATGGTGGGAAGGAGGAGGGAACGGGAGAGCAGGAGGGAGGCAGTGGAGCAGCCGCGTCAGCTGGAGAAACCTCCTCTTCCTCTTCCTCTTCCTCTTCCTCTTCCTCTTCCTCCTCCTCCTCCTCTTCCTCCTGTTGTGTGCCCTCCACTTCACAGCACCTGGCCAAGACTCCTTCATCATCTTCTTCCTCTCTTTCCTCATCGGCACTTGTGACTGAATCACAGAAGCAGTTGCTCACAGATCATCTTTCTTCGTCTTCCTCGTCTTCTTCAAACACATTGGACATGACCCCATCTTTCTCTCACACCCCTCCCTCACAACCAGCGGCCCAGACAGAGGAGAGCCTTGCTGAGCCTGAGCCCGCCCCTCACCTAAACACAGGCTTCCTATTGGACAGTCCGGAGTCATCTGCTGGTCAAACATCAGAGCTTGACCAGCCCTCTTCCTCTTCTGAAGGACAGTCGTCTCCTCCTTGCAGCCTCTGAGCCCTGTTCACACACACACACACACACACACACACACACACTCACACTCACACACACACTCACACTCACACTCACACTCACACTCACACACAATCTTAATACTCCCATCTACTTATCACATCATGTCAGAAATTGAACTCCAAACGCCTCCATTTTATAACAGAATATTTAAAAACCATCTAAGCTGATATTCATCACTCAGCATTTGAAAGAAACACAGATGATGACAAGATGTTGCCATTTCTTCGGCAATGGTCATGGAACAGTCTATCCAAATGTATTTCCATGAAGAGTTTAACTTTCATGCCAGCAATGATTTCATTTTCCATTCAACACAAAAAAGGGGAATGAAGTAATCTCTAAAAGAATGAGTAGTTTGACATTATGTCCACGAAATGTGAAATCCTGAATGAAACTGAAGAACCACATCACAGCTTTTTACTTTGATATTAGTCCTGAAATGATGCTTTCTGTCCTTCTCATTTCACGTGGTGGGTGCTCCCATCATGCCTTTGTTTGTGCAGCTTCTCTTTCAATGCTGTGCATCTCGTAGTATTTGGGTTTTCTTTTGGAGTCCTGTATGTGCCATGATCTAACGAGGAACGGTTTAGAGAGCCTTGAGAGGCCAGAGAAAACCGATGGTTGCATTATAAACAGTGACAAAGTCATAATGTTCATAAAGTCTATAGATTTCTCCATCGGTTGGATAAAGATATTTGGTTTTCACTGTTGGAGGAAAGCAGTGTACGAGTGAACACCCTGAGCATTAACAGACTGAATGTTGTTTCTTAATCACGTGACCTGAAGCGCGGTGCTAAGCAGAGGACACATGGCATGGTCTATTTAAGTGTTACAGTGAACAAATCAAAGGGTTCACACGTGGACGAACTAATTCATTTCACTTGTCAAGCTTTCTTTCTCTCTCTCTCTTCTACTGCTTCAATATTTGAATCAAACTTGTTTGGCTGGTCCCAGCAAAAAAAAAAAGGCTCTTCTCCTCATCGCCAAAACTTTTGTATAACTGTTAAAAATATGTTATTTTTAAGATAACTTTGACATTACTGCTTTATTGGACAGCCCGCAGTGCAGACGGACTGAAAAAAGGGAGAGAAAGACAGAGGGAGATGACACACGGCAGAAACCACTGTTTAGCTGAGAATGTGGTGGGAATATAATCCCCTCGATGTCTTTACTTCATGGTACTCATCCGCACTCATCTCCCTGAGCTCAGCTCATTTTACATATATATATTTAACCAGTCACATACCTTCCAAAGTTTACCATTGCCATGAATTCATGGTAGGAGCCATCACCATGCTCCATTCAGCTTAAACCAATCACGTCAAAGCACCCTGTATTTCCTAAAACCATCACTATCCTGCTGCTTAGTCACTCTATGAAATGTTATTACCAGCAAATTGAGCCGTTTGATAGGAAAGCTTTTTCCCCACACGATGGTACGCTCTCTGACGGCACCTGTGATTAGTAAACGGGGTCGGACGGGATGAAGTGTGTTTGTGTTTGTGTTGAGTCTGAATGAGAGACTGACACTTGAGAATGAGTCCTGATGCACGCTTGTATGTAGAGCCTGCACGCTGCCACTGTTACCACAGCATTTATTTGGGTCTCCAATGTCCTCTAACCTTGCTACCAATATATATTTTTTTCATTTTTCTTGTTTTTGGGGTTGCATTTGCACTAATGTCATTTATACTAGCAACGCTCCAAAGCTGTCCTTCGGCTGTAAGCATCCAAATACCCTCTGAAGTGTTTGTGTACGAGGAGACAGCCCAATCTGTTTGTGTGTGATGTATATAAATGTTGCTCTGTATGGCATCTATATTAAATCAGAAGAGTGTTGATATATATAAATAGGACCAGGGCTGGGTTCCTCCAAAGCTTCCTTGTGGTTTGATGTTCCTGATTACTTGTCATGTCAGTGAACAAAGACAAACTTGTGTGTGAGAAGCTTTGGAGGAACCCCGCCTCTGATGTGTGTGACCAGCCAGTGTTGCTGCTTCTCCGCTCTGTATGACGCGTCTTTGAGCTGGTGTGATCACTCTGATGCCCTCTATTGTTAGGAGTGGGATCAGCATGTCGCTGACTGACAGGAGAAGCACTAGTTAACCCTCAAATGTATTAATTACTACCACTATAACGGTCTTATTATTATGAATGACTTAACTGTTGACATTAGAAAGCGTTGGCTGCAGGGCTGAGAATGAATACATAATCGATGTAGGATCAAACCTGGCCAACGCTGTTTAACTCTGTTGATTTTTTTTTGTAAAGAGATGAAAAGTTTGATGTATTTTGCACTTGTTCCTCAAAAAAGGTGAACATAAGGACTTTTCTGTATTCTTGAATGACTCGATCTCATTTTTATTATCAAGCTCCATTCCTTCGACTTTGATGTAAAACAAAGCACTTGAAATGGTTACAAAGATTTAAAAGCGTCACACACTCTTGGGTTTTCACTGTGGAGCATGAGCTGTGTCGAGGAGAGGAATCACCTGCACGACAACATGTCACATGCTCCACACGATGAGAACCGTCATTGGCAATTGTATTAGAATTAGCAGTGCAGTATTACGTGATAAAGCCTGTCCGCTGTAGATTCCATATGTATTTGCTTACTTTATACTCCATGTTGGAGAATTGCCGTTATTTGGTCACTTTTCTAGACAATGAACTGTGACATATATAGTATTTTATCTTAAACTCAATATTTATTTTGTGACTATACAGTATTTTTATTTTATTACCAAGAAGTTGGATACGTTAAACTAAGCTTTTCAATGTTTAAAGGCATTATTTGCATGCATTTTAGATTTAATCTGTGGAATTTACTTCATTTAAAAAGTATTATTTACTGAATTATATTCTCTAATGCTCCGCACATTGAGCAACAAACATTTTAGATAGCATCTCCTCCTGTAAGCTTTATGTTCTGTTGTAAAAATGGTACATGCAATAAGTAAATTAACCGCAATTATATTTTATTATTGCTCTTAATCAACTGGCTGTGAAAATACCACTACAAAAGAAAGCCAATGTGACCTATACAACCCAATATTTCTTAAAATGGTAGTTAATGTGTATTCATTCAACATTGCTTGTATTGAATGTAATGTAGTAAGCATTAGAGGATCTGCATACATGTATCCAATAATGGCTGAAGTTACTTTCCCATCTGAAATCCAGATGTTTGAGGCTAACTTTATCACACTTTGATTAAGCATATATTGTAATGGAATCTATAGCTGCAACAGAGCACTCTGAAAACAACACTGCTGTCCAATGCTATTGCCTCTGACTTACAGACGTTAGTTGATGGTGTGCAGGGCAGCTCTAGAGATGCCCGACAGAGTTTTGTTTGAATTTGTTTCGGTTTCTTTTGTCTGTTTATTCCAGACACATTTGGGACCTGCTCTGTAAACCTGACTCTGAATGCCGGTTGTTTTTAAAACGCTTCACAGTTGGTGTTGGAATTTATGCCTGACATGCCTTGGTTATTTTACAAAAATTGAATGTCAGAAATAAAATGAACCATCCGTTCTGATCTCATGCTTTACTTGTCATTCATATTGCATATTGATTTAGTAGAATTATTTTTGATTAGTTGTATTAGCAAGCCTAATATTTAAATATATTATTTTATACACAAAATCTGATTCTGTACTGTACATTATATATTATTATATGGACCATACAGCAGTTGTATGACATTAATATAAAGTAGAACAAAGTGGTAAGGTTTATCATCAGACATTTCAGCAATTTAAATTCAGAAATTACAACCTGCATACATCTGTTTTATTCAGAATAATGTAATAGTTTATGATTTGTCCATCAGGTTAGGTCTGCCTGTGCCTCAGTGAGCGTGTATTTGGAGGAGTCAGACACAAGATGGCGCTGCTGTGTCGTTTTTAGTATGAATGAGAAGCGATCCAAGAGCCTAACCGCGGCTCGTGAGACACACACACACACACACAAGAATATTTATATGACAGTATTGTAGAGACTCTTTTAGTGGTTTTTCATCGTGTTTCTCTTCATTCTGCTATATTGTTCTGTTTGTTCAATGGGATTGGCGCGCATTTTAAGATTTAAGATTTTTTTGTTTTATTTTTTCTTATGATTTATATCTCCTTTTACGTTTCACTTCATTACATTTGATTATATGATATCCTCACTTCAGCTAAAGTGACCTTTTTATACTATAAGGGATTTGATTATTTGAGTATTCTCTAGCCTTTTTGATGTAAAAACCTGTAGGATCACAAGCACACCTCTGGTTGTTTTTACCTAATGGATATAAATGAACAAAAGTTTCAGGATCTTCATAAATCAATAATATCCCTTCCTTAAGGTTAAGCAGAAGGCTTGCATTTTTAAGTAATGAAAACCATTGTAAGCTTTTCCTTTTGCAGGAGAACTCATTAAAATTGCAAGCTCTTTAGATTCAATATTAGCTAATAGATTTTACACACATTTAAATTCCCATGAGAGCTTACACAGATATATATGTATTTTTGAATAAACTGGTATAAATGCTTTAAGGCCACTCCGATCGATCGCAACCCCAGAGCCCCCCCACACTCCTCCATTCACATGTATTTTTTCTTCAGCTGTGAACCCGATTGAATACTTGACGGGCTGATCCTCCACTGTGTCTCTCTCCCTCTCTATAAGCAGCAAACTGGAGCATAAAAGACTCTTATTCTCCATAATCAAGGTCAAGAGCGTTTTTCAATAACCTCTGGGAATTAAACGCTGGAACCGCGCCAGCTCGACCTGCCAATCATTTTCACAGCCAGCTGAATAATACAAAAGTTTTTGACCTTTCTGCACCTCGACAGATCAATACCCTGTAGCTTTATTTTATTAAACGAGTTCAAGGAATTATTTATTAATATTTGTATTTGTTTGGATTCCCTCTCGCCGTGATAAATTGTTTCAAATAACAGATGGCGCTTGAGGGAGAGACAAAGCAGGGAAATCTGGTAGCAATTATCCTCAATTATGTTCATTGTTATTTTGAGCTAATTATTGTTATTGTCACTTTTGTTTGTGCGTCTTGCGGCGCTATAGTCTGCAATAAGCAGGCCCGAGGAAGACAATGGGGAGCAGGCATATGTTGTGACGATGAAATATGGCTTTTATAATGGAGCCTAACCAGTTGGTCTAAATAAAACTGAGATTGAAATGTACATGCTGAGATTTGAAGATTGCTTAAGTCTAATAATGACACCAGATAAAGAAAATATTGAATGTTTTTTTAAAGCAGTAAAATCCCAATTTTCTCTCAAACATAATTTGGTTAATGTGAATATTGTTGAATAGAATATTAGAAAACATCCAATCAAAGATGCAACAAAAGATTTGTGTTCCTCTTTTTACTTATTTAATATTTTCATTAAACTTCATGTCTTGCGTAAAAGTAGGCTAGCTGTTTAAAGTAAGGAGTTGTGATTTTCTTGCAGCCAAATGTGTTCACCCTACTGAAGAGCCACTGAGAGATGGGAGCTTATTGCAGCATCGTGAGCAGCCGACTCAAAGAAAGACACTTTCAAGGTCGGTTGTCAGTTCTGTGGTGCGCACAAGAATTCATCTCCACATTTACAGAAAGAGATGTTTCTGTTAAAGCATCCCTTAAGGACAGAGAGGGATCCCGGCCCGGGTATAGGGGAGGACAGAGGGAGGAGAGGAGCTCCGTGGCCGCTGCATGGGGCGGACCTGACTCCACTCTCGCCTTTGTTTGGGGGCGTCTCCTCTCCTCTCCTCTCGCCCTGTCCCCTCCCCTCCTCTCCTCCCGTCCCCTCCTCTCTTTCCTTTCCCATCCTACCTCCCTCTCTCTCCCCCCGGGGCGGGAGAAGCCCGTGTTTGGTTCTCAGAGAGAGTCCTTTGGGAAGAGTCACAGAGCGTTTTCCTCACACAGAGAGAGCGCAGAGCAGAGCTCGGGACTCATCCGCAGGACGCAGCGCTGCCCCGAACACACACACCACCGACACGTCCCAGACCGCTGGGCTGAGGGAGAAGAAGAGAGAGCAAAGTGCGAGAAGAGGGAGAAAGAAGTGTCAGATAAGGATGACACCTGATCTGGGTGCCAGTTGATCTCTTTTTTTCTGTCTGACAGCTTCAACTGTGGATCTCCAAGCGCAAGGAGTGACTTTTCAACATCTGTTCACACTGGGACTGGCCGCGATTTTTTGACATTTTGGATTCTACTCCAGTATGATTCACCCTACGTCTTAGTACACACGAGGACTAGAATTGCATGAATTATCACACGACTGCTTGATTTGTAGCGAGGCTCACAGCCGCAGCAAAGCGCAACCACGTTGCTCCTCTTGAATCAGAGTGAAGGATCTACAGGAGAACAAGTGCACAGTCCGCTGAGGAGAGACCGGGAAACAGAAGGAGAGGCACCGAGCTGTGGAGATTTGTTCATGTTTGGGATCCAGGAGAGCATCCAGCGCAGCGGCAGCAGCCTGAAAGAGGAGCCGCTGGGAGGCATGAACTCTGTCCGGAGCTGGATGCAGGGGGGCGGCGTGCTGGACGCCAACACGGCCGCCCAAAGGTGAGCTCTTCTCGGGTGGAGGAGACCTGCTACCACCCTGCCTTATTTACCGAAACATGGAACAACGTGTTTCTTCTGTCAGGACCCTGCTGCAGCCACCCGTGCAGGACACGATGCTGGGTTTATGGGAGCTGCTGTCCGGAGGAAGAGATTGGGATTTAACTAATGATACGAGAATTAATTAAACTAAGATTATTTTGCAGCATTTAAAAAATGAATTTGAATGTATAATTGTAGGAGACCGTATTTAACAGTTAATGGCAACATGTGTTTGTAGGCTACAGATTTTTACGCACACACACCCCGAGCCTTCTGTTCATAGTTGGCTGATGTTTAATTAACATAAAGGCAAAGAGGCGAAGTAATAATTCTAGTGCTATACTTTGGGTTAAAAATGGATTTAAAATAAATTATCAAACAATCATAATCATGGTTTATTAAGGAGGAGCATGATTCTCAAATTGGTCCTCAGGGATGTAAAGGTGGATAAATCATGACCCCCTGTCTCAGATTATCATGAGAAATCAGACTTCAACACATTTTGTTATTATTTCAGAAAATCATACATTTTTTATTTGTTTTTAATAAATTAACTTTCAGTAATAAACACAACTCAAGACGATACAATATAGTATTATATTGTCGCTGCGTTAATTAGGTCCTCATATTTATTAATATTTATTTTTTAAACACCTTAAAAATGTAAAACTTTAAAGCTTCTAACACCGACTCCTCCACGCATGTTTGTCCGCAGTGGAGTGGGTCTGGCCCGGGCTCACTTCGAGAAGCAGCCGCCCTCCAACCTGCGTAAATCTAACTTCTTCCACTTCGTCCTGGCTCTGTACGACCGGCAGGGTCAGCCGGTGGAGATCGAGAGGACCAACTTCGTGGGCTTCGTGGAGAAAGAGAAGGTCGGTGCAGAAACTCTCGGTGTTTGATCATTTCGTCTAATATATTATATTCTTAAGGGTAATTTACGATTTCGAATCCCTAAAGGCCTGATTATATGATGTGTGATGTTTTTATGTCAATATTAATACAACATGTAAAACATTTACACTAACTCATCAATACCAAATATGCTCAATGTTTTATTATAATAATAAATATAATTACAATTAACAATAGGCTACTATTATTATGTTCAGCATTTTAAATATAATTAGACAAAGAACAAACACAATTTATTACATTCAGGCCTACTGTATCCTAGAACTTTCTTCGATCTATTTGTAATAATTGGCAAATAAGAATACACGTCTAGAAATGTAAATAGTTTTAATTTAGAGCTGGTTCACCACGAGCACTTGTTCTGTATAAACAACGGCGGGGAAACCGGTCTCCTCATCAATTATGACACCGTTTAAATTAGCTGAAATGCACTGGGAGAATGTAGTGTTGGATTTATTGGCCTTCCAAACATAACCAGTAATTACAGAGGAATTAAAGAGCCACAATAACACAATGATTACACTGTGAGAAATTACAGTGCTGCCCTGCTTTAATATGTTCGCTGTGAACATAAATCTTGTTTATTTAACGTATGACCTGTGTGAGCTATTCAATAACTTGGATGTTCACTTCAGGGGCCTACATGTGCAGAGATGTGCTTTTTTAAAAATGTGTCCTAAAAATGTCAATAAACAGCTCGGTGTGTGTTGTGTTTGTTAAGGAGATAACCGGAGAGAAGACCAATAACGGGATTCATTACCGGCTGCAGCTTCTGTACAGTAACGGTGAGTGAGGAACACACACTCAGAAAGTTACCCATGATACATCTGACAGAAACAGCTAGATTGCTTGTTGTCCCCTGCTACATGATACACAGACTGCACACAGGAAGCAGCTGATTTAAAAAAAAAAAAAGATTTAATGTGGAAAATTGTGCAGTTGGCCAAAAGGCTGTGTTTATGTCACTGAAACTGCAGTGACGTTTTTTTTCACAATCGTGTGATTTAAACAGATAAACAACCAATAAAACAGATAAATGTAACTATCATCATAGCCATTTTTGGCGATTTATACCAGATCTAGGGCTTCATCCCTCACTGACCCTAAATGAGTGTGTCCTGTCTCAAGTGTGCTGTTTGGCAGTTGCATGTCGCTGTGATGGTAGCATGTGGAGTGGTATTCAGGCCTATTTGGGAGGGAAACTACATAAACCTGCTCCAGCCTCCTCTGAGATTAAGACATATTGATTTAATATATGTTGCATGAGGTAATGGACAAGGGAGATTCACCAAGAAAACATTTATCAGTAATATTGATTGTGACCATTTAAACCAAAAGCTAATGAAATTAAACATCACTGTGAGCCGTTAATGGGCATCTAATGTTTTCCGAGTGTTTGAACCCCAAAGTATTGAAGGTGTAAGGTGTCATATCGTGAACAAACTGTACACATGTGTCTTTTTTTAGATAAATCAAGATGACTGGGCTTAGAAAAAGCTATGGCAGGATGTATGTGTGAGCAGTTCAAATAAAGAAAGATTATTAATTACACACATTTGTGGAGGCTCAAATAATTAAATTCAGTTATAAACAAGATTTCACAAGAAAAAAACGTAGCTTTGTTTTTTTTTATTTCATTTTGTTTATCAGAAATATGTTTTGAATATTTTTTGCAACCCCTAAAATATGGGGAAGCTTCTTGTTTGCTGGGTTTATACCTTTTTAATGTGTACTTTTAAATGTTCCAATACATTTGTGGTTATTGTCTAAATCTATGTAAAGCTTAAGATATTCTCTTTTTGTCTGCATCCAAACAGGTATCAGAACGGAGCAGGACTTCTATGTTCGATTCATAGACTCCATGACTAAACAGGTAAACACCTATTTTATACAGCCTATGGACACACACACACACACACACACACACACACACACACACACACACACACACACACACACACACACACACACACACACACACACACACACACACACACACACACACACACACACACACACACACACACACACACACACACACACACTCTCTCTCTCTCTTTTTCTCCCAGAGGTCTGTCACCTCTCCTGTTACCTCTCTGACAATGAGCTGCTTCACTGATCTGGCTGTACTGCGCCACCCTCCTCTATCTGCATGTACTTGTACACACAAAAATGTGTATTTATGTGTGTGTGATTTTGTGGGTGGGTGTTTCCACAGTGTGTGTGGGTGGGGGCACACACACACACACACACATCACAGGGCTCCAGGCGTTTGTGCCTGTACTTCTCTCGCTGTGATTAGAGCGAGGAGGCAGCGAAGAACAGCAGCGTAGTTCTGCTGCGCACAGTAGGAAGTGGAAAGATATAACAGCACCTCTGGGATTTGGTCTGCCGAGTGCCAGGCATTATCTGATCAGATCCAAATTCTTCTGTTAATGTTTGTGTTTTTGTTTATATGTAGCTTTATAAGAGTAAGATAGAGAGATATATAGGAATTAGAAGAGAGAGAGAGATGAGCAACTGAACAACAGAAAGAAGACAGACAGACAGTCTTAGTGTTACTTCTCAATGTTTTTCAGGTAAACGGTTAGGATGAAGAATTATTTTGTTTTTCCTCAGGAAACAGTGATGCAGTGTGTGTATGTGTCTGTGTGTGTTAGTATGTGTGTGTGGTATGAGGAGCCAAGAAGCCATGCTATGCACTGAATACTTGCTAATGTGACTGCAGGCTCTGATAGAGTCTCACATTGCTGCTGCCACGCTGCAACACATACTGTGTGTGTGCATGTGTGTGTGTGTGTGTGTGTGTGTGTGTGTGTGTGTGTGTGTGTGTGTGTGTGTGTGTGTGTGTGTGTGTGTGTGTGTGGTGTGTGTGTGTGTGTGTGTGTGTGTGTGTGTGTGTGTGTGTGTGTGTGTGTGTGTGTGTGTGTGTGTGTGTGTGTGTATCTGGCAGGCTTGAGGGACCACACTGTTCCCTAAAAACACTGTTTAGCTTCACCTTGGTGGGGTGACAGCCAGCTTACACACACATGCACACACACATACATTGCTAACACATATTCATGCTTTACTTCTGAAAAACTAAATGGCTCTTTTAGAAAGGAGAAATATTAACCTACATAAAGAGATTTAAAGTTTGAAAAGGAAAAGTAATCTTTTTCCAGAATGCTGATGCAGTCCGGTGTGTTCTGCACCTGTGGGCATCTGCAGGTGTGAGTGTGTGTGTTTGTGTACAATCTGTTTGTAAGTGGGGGGGTTATATGTGTGTAGAGAGAGATGAACAAATGGGACACAGTGCAGGTATTTAGTGCTGAATGTGTTGGTACTTAGGGAAAACTGCACTCGGAGCAATAAAGCAGGCTGTGTATGTGCATGCGTGTGTGTATGAGTGTGTGTATGTGTGTGATCCCTGTCGGTAGAGGAATGGAACATTAACAGGTGGTCAAACCAAAACAGCCGTGTGGTTGGCTTAGTTGGTCAATGATGTCATGGCCACTGTCTCTCTTACCACACACACACACACACACACGCACGCACGCACGCACGCACGCACGCACGCACGCACGCACGCACGCACGCACGCACGCACACACACACACACACACACACACACACACACACACACACACACACACGAACACTGCTGGTCTGCCACTCATGGTTTCAGTGTTGTTTTAAACAGGGAAACCAAAGCTACTCAGAAATACCACAGTTTGCATTGTAGTCTATCTGATATTACTTTAACGTTAAATGCACACTGATATAAATCAAAATTGTAGCTTCACAAACATTTAAAACAAAAGAGTTGGTTCTCATATCTTCACCCAACAATTATGCTATTAACAACAAACCACTGGATATCCTTTTGACTAACACAGGACTTTTGAGAGCCTATGCTTGACACAACGTTCATATGATTAATTCGATAGGAGGCAAAACACAAACCATTTTTTAATATACATAAAACTCCTCAATAACTATAGAAATGGGGATTAAATATGGTCAAAAAGTAAAGATTGGACCTTTTTAGTGCAGATTTCTGATTTTGGCAAGCATGAATGCTATATTTGTTGAGTATATTGTTGTTTATTTCACAGTTCTGACTGTGATCCTTCTCCAACGATTCTTGCCACTTTTAGCTGGCACTTATTTCTGTTGCTCTGCTATTTCTGTCTGTCTACCTGCTTTGTGTGTGTGCTGAGAGGCCAGCACTGATTGTGTTAAACGGAGGAGGAGAGCGCCTCCTAGTCTTCAGAAGCACAGTGTTCATCACGACTCTGTCCCGGAGAATAAAGCGTCTGTCACAGCGGCCCTGTCGGATCACTAGCTCCCTACCCGACCTGACACTAACGCAGGAGGAAGTGTGTTTCCCTGCTTAACGGCTCCTTGTTTACACGCAGCGCATGTCACGCTACTTCAAAGGTGGAGGAGAGAGCGGCAGACATGCTGTATGTAAGGCCTGGTGAGGCGGAGAGAGGGAGGAGGCAGAGGAGGAAAAAGCAGATGAAAGACATGAGCAGAGCAGGAGAGGTGACAGTGTGATGAACACAAATGTGGGCGAGATGGTGGAAGAAGTTATGGTAGAAGAAGTTACACACCTACACAAGAGCCTGCTACTGAAGGTGGATGAAATGTTGTTATCAAATAAGCTCCAGATGTCTCAGCTTGCTAAGCCGGACAGACCAAGTGTTAAGAATGACATAAAAAACACTTTAGACCTAAGTTTTAGTAATGATTCAGTGATTGGCTTTCTTTGATGGAGAGGGATCAAACAAACAATGTTAAATGTATTGCGTATTTGGATACAGTTCATAATGCTTTTTGTATAGAATTGCTTCATTTGGCTCAATTTGCACATCTCTGCCATCTCTGACTGTCAGCTCCTCCTTATTTTGTAAAACTGGCTCTTTTAGAAATGTTAGCACCAGCTCCATTCACTTGTAGTTGCTTTTTCTTCCTCAAGATTAGATTATTTTTGCTTCATTTCAAATAACTTGTGCCTTCATTGACCGTAATGTCCTGGACCACCAGGAGCCCTGCAGGCTCCACATTCATGTGTCGATACATTTCCTGTACAGGTTTTGGCAACTTGAATATATGCATGGAAAATGTTAACTGACAGGGGCCCTGGACCCTGAAACAAATGTGGGCTCCAATTCCAAAACACACAGAGGGTCCTGAAGACAACTCGCTATTAGTATGAACCGCTTTGGGCTACGAGAATATTGTAATGGGGCCCTCAGACTGTAGCACCACTGTTAGTGCTCTCTATTAATGCTACAAAATGGTTTAGTGGTTTCTGAGCATGCTGGGCTGTAGTTTCTACAAATAAGGGGTTCAGTCTTCGTCCCGGCTCATGCAGGGGCTACATGCTTGCCTCGGGGTCCCTGAAGGGATATAATATTATGTCTTAACTGAGTCTCAGCACTTAATACATGGCATCAGGCCTTTTGTAGGAAAAAGTCATTGTGACCTTTGGGGAAACATTTTCAGTTTTCCACATAACATCAGCACAAGGTGTTGCATGTTGTTCATAGAGTTGTTAAGCTCTCTCTCAGCTGAATAACCTTCATTACAAAGTTATATTCAGCTGATGGCAGCAAGTAGTCAGAGGCCTCAGCTGAAGACTATCGGAGAGGACAGTGAGACTTCTTCTCCGCTCCCTGAGAAAAGTGAGCTTGTCACTCGGAGAGACTTGCTGGAGTTTGGAACGACAGATGAAACAGACTGGAATAGACCAAAGACAGGCGGGGTGTGTGTATTGATTGATAGATAGCTAAGTGGTGTGTGACTTGTGTTTTCGCTTTTTTTCTGAGCTTAGACCAGAAGCAGGAATATTTGAGAATGGAAGCAAGCCAAAATGCTTTCTGAGGAGCTGAAAGAAACTCTCCCTGTGCTGAGAAGCATGTGAGCAGTGGAGATATTGTTGTTAGTTTGGAGATTTCTATAAACCAACGTGTGTGAACAAGGTGTATTTGTGAGGGAGGTGACAAACCGTGTGTGTGTGATTGTGTGTGAAGTAGGAGGTGTTTCCGCTGAACCATGTGTTCTTTAAGGTGAAGTGGGATCTAACCTGTTATCCCAGCGCTGAAAAAATATACTCTCACCAGTTTTGTAGATGTAAAGTGCAGCGGTCTGAAGACATGCAAATATTGTTTTTATGCAGCTATGCACGGATGCAGAGAATGAATGGCAACTATCAGAGTGTCAGAGCTCTAAATGTACATCTTCCTAAGGCTGTTGTTATCAATGAAAATACCAACCATATCTTTGAATCTTTTATGAATTGACCGAATGACAACTAGACAATATTCTGTGTATTTGTCTTCCCCCATTGGGTTGTTTACTGTTAAAGCCAAACATAACAAAAACACCAGGCAATCCTACTTTTACAACTTTTAAACCACAAGATATACTTTTCATTTACACATTTGAACGTGATTGTACCACCAAGCCATCCTAAATCAAACACCTAAATCTGCTTTAATAAGGTTCAATTGAAACCAACACCATATTGAAGATGGAGAGGCCTGTTTTGTGGATTTCTGGACTTTGCTGTGTTCTAACAATGTGTTTTACTTCCCTCTCTACATCTTCCTGTCTCTCTTAACAGGCGATTATTTATGAAGGCCAAGACAAGAACCCAGAGATGTGCAGAGTGCTGCTGACACATGAAATCATGTGCAGGTGAGAATGGGTGCATTTGGATCTTTGTATTCTGCGTAAATCTTCCTCCGCTCTAAACTATCTTCAAACAGCTCATACTTTTCCTTCCATCCTCTTTCCTCGCCCCTCTTCTCTTCTTCCGCTGCATACTTTGTTCGTCTGCAGAAAGTTCTCACCAATCACATCTCTGCACTCGATACATTTCTTATTTTGTCACCCTCATTAACCCCCCCACACATACACGCCCAGACGCGTACATTCGCACACACATGAAGCCATATCTGTTGAGGAAGATGAGTTTTAGCTATCAGAGTCGCTGCTTAATTATAATCTAAAGATGAATTTTCCTCGGAAGTAGGTTGGGAGGAAAGATGTCTATTTATAGAGGCATTTTACCAACCTATCCTATACAAAAGAAAATGTGGATGTAGATTCATGTGAGCGGTGTGTGTGTGTGTGTGTGTGTGTGTGTGTGTGTGTGTGTGTGTGTGAGACGCCTGGTTAATTAGGACACAGAGAAACTCATTAGTCAATCTGAACCCTCCTGTTGTTTCAAGGCTAACAAATGGGCCTTCCTCTGCAATCTGACTATAAAATATAGGCAGGGTCTCTCTCTCTCTCATTTTCACACACACACACACACACACACACACACACACACACACACACACACACACACACACACACACACACACACACCACACACACACACACACACACACACACACACACACACACACACAACACACACACCACACACACACACACACACGAACACATGTACAAAAAAGTATGCATATGCATGCTCCCTCATGCACACCACAGTTATACAAATTCAAATGTGGCACATGAATTAAGTTGTTCTTATTCCCTGACCTTGTCACTGAACAGCTTTAACTGTAACAATATAAATCGGGGTTCATCTATATGCACAAGCACTGGATTTAGCCATGAAATCAGGCACAGCAATATTTTATTCCATAGCTCCCTGAATAATGCTCAGGCAGTTCAGCTGCAGAGCTTCATGGAAAAACCCTTTGAGATTCATATATGATTTACAAGGAATTTATAAATAAATACAGATTTTATCGTAAATTATTGTTCTTCATCATGTTTGGGAAGGCATTGTGGACATTAATAAACTGTTCTGCATAACATGGTGAGCTTGTACTGTAGAAGTATTCCAACATGTCCTCTGGGGGAGCAACAGTGCAGCAGCAGAGCAGAAAGTAAGACTTCTTCTTCAGCGTAAACACTCGCCTTACGCAGCAGCCGCTGAGGTCAAAGTTACGGCTGTTGCCTCATGTTCTCACATGCTGATTCTGCAGCAGGGGCCTCAAACACAACATGCTACGCAGAACGCACACACACACAGACACACACACACACACACACACACAAAGAGCTCAGGGCGTCCATTAATCAGTGTGGCTCATTGTCATGGTGGTGCTATTAGCCATATGCTCCCCGCCAATCTGCCACCACACAGACCTGGGTCCTGGTTGGAGCTCCGGCACGAATTCATGAAAGGTTTTACTACAGAGGACAGATGTAGCTCTACTGTTTTCATCATGTGTTCACCACTAATGTTGGTTAAACAAACAGTTATTCCCTTTCCAATTAAGGGTCTTAAAGGTTGAAAGAAAATATTTCAACCTATAGGGCTGTATTTTCTTTATCAGCTTGATCCAGCTCTTTATTGAAAGTATTTAAGTTTAAACTGAGTCAGGTATTCAAACGGAAGATTATCTGTCATATAAAATAGTCCAGATATTATGTGCATCTTTTCATATATTTAATGTCATAATAGAACATGTTGCCCAATGTAATTGGTTTCTTTGTAAACTTTTTTAAATTCCAATTTTGAAAAATGGTCCCAGGGCCAAAGAATTACCTCTTGAAAAGGCTTGTTATAGATATTTAAGTAGCAAATCCTCGAATTTGAGGAGCTGGAATCTTTTATTGATCATCTTATAATTTCATATTACTCAACCAACATTTCCAACATTTATTTCTTACATTTTCACAAACAGAACCTTTGAAAACGACATCTCTACAACTCACGCTATTGAGACTCCATTGTTTAAAAGTGTGTGTGTGCACCGTATGTGTGTGTGTGTGTGTGCTGGGAGGAGGGGAGATGCAGGGGGGAGAGAGCAGATGATTAGATCCCCAGGATCCAGAGCAATAAGTGCTACATTACCCCTGTCCCGCCCCTAGTTTTCCTGTCCTACCCCTCCATTTATAGTATCTTCCACTCTGCTCCTGTGTCGTCTCCCTCTACTGTCCTCGCTTAATCTATCTATACCCCCCCCCCCCCCCCCCCCACCCACCCTCACCCATCCTCAGGATTGGGAGGGGTTACAATTTCAGTTACCTGTAAATAAATGTAATTGGTAACCTAATCTAAGTATCACAATATAAAAGTATTGTAACCTGATTACTTTTTGATTACCTCCATATCAAACGCCATGCAAATAAATAAAAGGGAAAGAAATATCAATGAGATGTTTTTAACTGAAGTGTTTTATGTAACACAACAGAACAATGTGACCTTAGAAAAGAAGAAACCAAGACATTTAGGATCGAAAAATGTTTTATCTTAAATTTAGGCTGGGCCTACAGAATAGTAGAGTTTACGAGTGTTTAAGTTTAATATATTAATTAATAGAAAACTGTATTTTAAAAATAAATAAATCAGTTGTCCATCAACTACATTAAACATGATATTTAAATGATGAATGAAAGTAATCTAAATGGAAACCAGAAAGAAAATCATTTCGTACGTCTACCTAAAATATGTTAAATGTATTATGTCAACAGATTTCACATATTAAGTTTGAATAAAAATACTAGGTTCAACTCAATAGAAGTGCTTTCAACTAACCTAATACAGTTATGTGACATTTGTTGACATAATACATTTCATTTAAGGCAATGTTTACGTTTTTTCATAATCCCCTTACATGTAATCCATTACTCCGCACGACTGCCCATCCTTTCCTCCCAGCCCCTCCCTCCTCAGGATCAGCTCTCCCCTATAACCCTGCGCCCCACTCTCCCACCCCAGTTCTCCTCCTCTCCCCCTCTCTCTGCTTTTGGTCCTGACCCAGTTCATAGAGCAGCAGAAAGGAAATGTCAGAGCGAGCAGAGAGAAAGGCCGAGCAGCAGATAGTGGAGACAATGTGTAAGGTGTAGCGTGTCAGTCTTTTTCTCTCCACCTCTGCCATCTGTGACGGTGGGAAACCTGAGTCGTCTCCCCTTCCTCTTCTTCCCACCCAAACATCTCCCCCTCCCCTCGCTCCCACCCTCTTGTTTTAGCTTCCCCTCCCACGCTCATCCCTTCAGTCTTCATCACCACTCCCCCTGCGGGCTCTATCCTTCCCCTCCTGCGTACACCTTTATTCATAATTGATGAACGCAAGAAAGCTTTGACAGACTTGCGGTACATGTGTGAATTTTGGATCGTATGCCAGTGTTTTTTATTGTGTGTGTGTGTGTGTGTGTGTGTGTGTGTGGGTGTGTGTGTGTGTGTGTGTGTGTGTGTGTGTGTGTGTGTGTGTAATCTATAGGGTTAAGAGGGGTAAAGCTTGAGGAAGAGATGATGGGAAAGAGAGGAAGGAGGAAGGAGCAGAAAAACGATGGACGGAGGTGAACATGATAAGAAAACATTAACAGGGAGTCAAAGGAAGGAAGGAGCGAGAGAGAGGGAGCGAGAGAGAGAGAGGGAGCGAGAGAGAGGGAGCGAGAGAGAGGGAGGAAGCTATGCAGACAGAGGAAGGTGAAGAGGAGCAGAGCAGGGTTGTTTCAGGGGATAAGAGCTTCAGTTCGGGGGAGTCCTGTCATCAAAGAGCACTGGGTGGGGGAGGAGGGGGCGCTGTCAATCAGCTGGAAGAGGAGAGAGAGGGTGAGGAGCGGGGGGGGGCGGTAAAGAAATTTGATGAAGGGAGCGAGGGGTTCTTCTAAATGATCTCTTCATCTTTTCTGCCTTTGTCTTCCTCTCTCTCTCTCTTCCCTCTCCCTTGTCCTAGTTACCAAAATATCTCTGCCAACCTGGTATGTCACTGTTCGCTCAACTGTCACTGTCTGACACACGCACGCACACACACACACACACGCACACACACACGACACGCACACACACACACACACACAACAACAAACACACCACAACACAAAACACACACAGCACAACACACACACAAACACACACACAACACACACACACACACACACACACACACACCCACCCACCCACATATCTAAAATAGACAGTGACATATTACGCTTTCTCCTTCCTTGACCCGTCCCTCATCTCTTTTCCTTCTTTGGCCTCCTTCTTTCAGATCTTCTCATCCTCTCAAATGTATATTGCTCTATTATGGACCCATCATTAGGTACAGTGTTGACAATGATGTAAGTCAGAAATATGTCACACTGGAAACTGTAAACATGGTAAACATTAGACTATCCGCATGTTAGCATTTAACTCAAAGTATATACTTTGCCTAAATACAGTCTGATAGAGATTTTCATGTCATGTTTCAATATCATTTGGTTTGGTTCTGATTGTGTGAACAGACGGCGGCTGAGGCTGACTGCTCTTCGTTGAATCATTATTAACATGGAAAATGTGTTATATTTCATATTTGTTTCTGTAGATGAGACATTCTTACATTTGATGGGTATCATTTGGATGTTATATTTATCTTTGTCTTGTTTTTTCCCACACAACATGAGCATATAGAACAATGGTTCAGGACTTGGACACTTTTAGGCAAGTTTGGGTTGGTATAATGGTGGGATTAATAAGGCCACCATCACTTAAATACACTTTCTCTCACCCCTCTCTCTTTACCTCTCTCTTTTTCTGTCTGTCGACTCTCTCGTGTTGCAGTATCACTTCCTGTGTTAAGGTCAGCAGTTGCTTAGAATCGAGGACAATTGGGAATTATTCATACCATCGACTTAATGTCAGCGTTCCATTTCTCTCACTGTGTTTGTTGTGCTTGTGGGTGTGTGTGTGTGTGGTGTGTGGGGTGTGTGTCTTTTGTTTGTGTGTGTTGTGGTGTTTCTGTTTCTGTGTGTGTGTGTGCTGTTTTCTGTCTGTGTGTGTGTATAATGGGTGAGATACAGAGGAGAAAGAGTATGTTTTATTCATTTTCCTCATTTAGTCTCTCAGCCTGCACCTGTCCTAGCATTTATAGCGCCGGGCATTCACAGTACTTGCTGATTTAGTTCAACTGCCCTCTTTAATAGACACACACACACAGACATGCCACACACACCAATTTGTGTCGATTAAACTGTCTAAACTAACTGTACTCGGCTCGTTCAGGGTCAGTGCTTCGAGGTTGACTTGATAATATTGAGAGCAATGGTGCTTTATTCCTCTCTTTCTCTCCTTTTATTACCTCTGCCAAGGACGTTATATTTTATATCCTGTTTCATTTTCTCTTTTCGGATTTGCCTTTAATTATTTCCTCCAATGGGCCAAAGAGCTACAAGCTGCGCAGAAAAATGTTTGGTTTGTTTGTTTGTTTTGGTAATCTTTGGTAGAGAATTTGACAGCGGTGAGGATAGAAGAAGTCCTTTATCCTCCGTTTCATTCTCTTCCTACAACCACCATTTCCTGTCTGTGGTGTTAGGGCTGTGAATATTAAGAAAGCTAAACTGGCCCGGGGCTATGTCCACGCAAATGGGTAACATATACCCAACTCCTCTTTCACCTCCCTCAGCTTCCCTTCCTGCTCCCTGTCTCCCACGACACACACACACACACACACCACACACACACACACACACACACACACACACACACACCACACACACACACACACACACACACACACCACACACCACACACACACACACCACACACACACCACACACACACACACACGCATACACACACACACCACACACACACCACCCCCTTAGGCAAGGCTCACGTTACCCTAAAAGCTACAAATACAGACATGGACTCTCTCTCTCATATTTTCACACCACACCACGCACCATCACCACACACACACGCACACGCACACGCACCCACACGGCAGAGTGATCAATGCCTCAAAGAATACAGATTTAGGATGACGCTTGATTTTATTTATTTTTTAATTACTTGTCGGTGAATATTTTTTTTATAAAGAGGAATATGCTCCCTGGCTAACTAAAGGTGGTCAGTGTGGCGAATAAAAGATTGAATCAGCGGTTTTAAATACAATACACTCGTAGAATAATAAAGAACCTTGTCTGCTGTTTCTTTCCCATTCCTGGCTTAGTAAATGTGAAAGAAACAAAGTGGATCAGAAGGAGCCACAACCACGTTACAGCCAATTAGCAGCAGCGGTGATCATTGCTCATGTAACAGGACAGGGGTAAAGCCAAGGATCTATAAGGACTAGGAAAATATGCCAAGACTTTTACCACCTGGTAAACGTGAGGCGTTGTCGGTCGGGCGATTGTTTTGCCGCTCTTCTGTGCCAAATTTCAAGGGCACGGACGCAAGCTGGCTGCGGTTGCTTAGCGGAAATCATTTAATAATATCAAACTACTTTATAATTTAAATAGTGTGTATGGGAGAGAGAAAGTAAAACTCTGCTTAGCTCTGTGCTAAAATTATACATTTCTCCCTCATATTTACCATTGATTTATATTTACTGAAGAAAGGAAAGATGTGTTTACTGTTTCACACAACATGCTTTCTAAAAGTTAAACTATGTTTTTCTCTGGGCGCAGCTGTCATGCCCTGGAAAATAGGCAATTTGGAAAGCTTGTACACCCAGACCCGGCTTTGTAGCTTGCTTACGCACATCCACATTGACAACATTGTTTTTTAATGTGCTCTAAAAACGCAGCATGTGTTCGGGTCCTAAGAAGAAAGGCGGCGGGAGCAAGCGGGACAGTAAACCAGAGGGGAGTATTTTTTGTTGTTGCGTTACAATATCAACCATCCTTCTCCAGAATCTACACATTTAAACCATTTTTATATTTATTTATTGTGGCATAAGAAAACGCCAAAAACCTCCCTTAAATATGAATACCAATGTATTTATTCTTTGATTCAGCCTCCCTAAAGGCATGGCTCAATGTTGGTCAGCACCAGCACCAAAGTCAATATATTCCTCCCATCACTGTCTTTCTTAATTGTGCCAACATAACCTCTGACGCCCTGTTGTTCTATCAAAGGAAACAGCCTTCAATAAACACAGAAACCTTTGAAAATTTGAATCTCTGACAAATATTGGATATGTGGGCAGTGATTCAGAGGTCTGCAACCCGGCTATATAGTACAACACTCCTGGGATTTATAGATCCTGACTCAGTACATCAAAAATCATTTCAAACCACAAGTATTACAGTTTACTGAATGTTGTATCATAAAGGGGAAAAAAATTAAGCCTGAGTGTGCTGCCGGCCTGGAACAACAGATGCGATTTTATGCTTAATCTATATCAATCATTTTCAGTCAGTTAACGGCCTAATCAGCTGACTGATGGATTTACCGCCGTGGCTGATTGATCAACAAACTTTACTGACTGACTCTGTGAGTGATTATTTAACCGACGCCTGAACTGGATGACTTCTTCACTGGGCAATCTAACACACTCTCTGATGTGTGGTGGTGTGGTGTGTGTGTGTGTGTGGTGGGTGTGTGTGTGTGTGTGTGTGTGTGTGTGTTGTGTGTTGTGTGTGTTGTGTTGTGGTGTGTGGTGTGTGTTGTGTGGTGTGTGTCTGTTTGTGTATGTCGAGTTGGTATGTGTGTGTGTAATCTACGTGGTATGTGGGTAACCTCCGTGGGCGATGAGACTGTGGTTAGAAGCCTCTGGGATACCTACACACAGAGATCTCTCTTATGCACCCATTACTGGACAGCCATTACTCTCTCTCTCTGCTCTCGCTCCTCCCTCTCTCTCCAGTCTCTCTCTCCTCCTCATCGTTTCTCTCGTCTCTCTCTCTCTCGGTTCTCTCTCTCTCTCTCACCACACACACACACACACGCACACACACGGTATTAAGGTAGAAAAGTACGAGATGTCTCATTCACGATAGGTGGTTGATGGTGGTGGTGCGCGCATGTGTGTGTGAATATCTTAAGCTCTGTCATTAAAAAGCAAAACACATTTAGTTGATCTGGAACTCCCTGCAGACTACACCACACAACACACACACACACACACACACA